AGGCCCACCGAGGCCGCCCACTCCTCTACGGCCTCGCCCCTGGCGTCCGCCCTGGGGGAACCCCACGCAATGGACTTTGCGTTGAAGTCCCCCAGCACAAGGACGTGCCCAGACGCTAGTCGCCGTATCGAGGTCTCCAAGCTGATTAGGAAAACCTCGAAGTCGTTCAAACTCCGGTTGGGGGAGAAATAGACACCATATATGGTGATCCCCCCCCACTCGACGGCAACATATCCAGTGCCCTTGTCTCTTAGCGACAAGGGCGGGGAATGAGCCGTCGTGGAACCGACGACTGCCACGGAGCCGTCCCAGTCACCCATCCAGTTTGGACGGGGAGGGACAGAATAGGGCTCCGCGACTACGGCAACACCTATCGACCACTGTGCCATGGTTTGCAGGAAGAGATCCTGCGCCGCGGCACAGTGGTTCAGGTTCGTCTGGACCAGGAGGTTGGAGACTTGATCCATTACTGGATCGTCTCTACAACCTCCTCCATGGGCGACGACGTCGACGCACGAACTACATCGGAGGCAGCCTGGGCCGACTGGCTAACCCCCGACGTCTGCCGAGAACTGCGGGGAGGCTTGCAGCCTCTCTGCCCCATCTGGTGATTGGCGGGCTTATTGCCCGCCGCACACACTGGGCAGTGAGGGGCGGCAGAGCATTCTGCCGCCTTATGCCCCGGTTGACCGCAGCGGAAACACAGTCCGCCGCAGTCAAAACAACTGTCGCACTTGACGCGCGTGTGTCCCGATGCTAGGCATTTGTAGCATCTCATCGGTCTCGCCGCCAGGACTGTGATCCTGGCGCTCACGAAACCGACGAGCAGCCTGCCGGCGTCGGCCAATACTTTGGCCGACGCTACGGGACAGCTGACCCACACGGCGCCAAGCCCTCCTGGACCGGGGCGGATGGTGCCGACCCTGACGTTGTCCGCGCTGCACCCCGTCTTCTCCCGGATTACAGCGCGGACATCTTCGGCCGTCACTGAGTCGTCCAGGCCCGAGATGCGCAGTTCCGCGCACTTGGTAGGCCTGGCGACCCTGACACCATCTGTGGCTGCAAATATTCCCCGCAGCTTCTCAGCGAAGGAGTCCGCCGTCTTTGCACCTTCAGCCCCAGGGAACTCGAGAACTCGAGCTCCCGTCTGGGCGAGGCGCATCCTGACCCCCACCGTCCCAAACTCGTTGGCGAGGCTGTCCCGGGCCTTCTTGAAGACGGCCGCATAGGACAGCCCGCCGTCAGCCGCCTCCGGGGACACGGTCACAACTACAGCCGCGGTTTTGGGCGGCTGCAGCTTCCGCGGCCTCTTTGCAGAGGCCGTTGCCACCGGTGGCGAAGGCTGGGCTTGGGCTGCTTTTTGGGCAGCCTTTCTGGCCCGCCTTCGGGACTTTTTGGAGCCCCTCGCCTCCTGCCAACCCTCGTTGGAGGGGGCAGGTGCGGAGGGGCCCGGCAGGGGTGTCGGAGTGGGGAGCGGAGGGAATGCCACTCCGCTCCTCGGCGCCGTTTTAGGCCCCGTCTTGGCCGGCGCCTGGGGATGTGCCTTGGCCGGCGCCTTAGCCGGTGCCTTGGCCGGCGCCTGGGCCGGTGCCTTGGCCCCCCTCCTCGGCTTTTGGGGAGCCGATGGAGTCGGGGCAGACGCCGCCGCCGCGTAGGAGACGCGGCCTCCCACTACGGGGAGCGCGGTCGGAGCGGCGGCCTTAGGCCGCTGTGCCGACGCGAGCGGGGGGCGCATAATCGGCGCAGGAGGCAGTCTCGCCTCCAGGCCAGCCAGGCGTCCGTCCAGCATATTCCCAACTGCGATGAGGATTTCTCGCAGTTGGGAGTCAAATGCCCCTGGGTTGGTGGTAGGGGCAGGCTGGGACGCGGACGGGGCTTCCCGCTCGGGGAGGTTCGCCTGGAAGCGGGCGAACTGAGCACTCAGCTCATTCACCCGCTCCGTCAGCCTCTCGTTGGCCACCTGTAGGCGCGAAACGTCGCCCACTAGGCCCTCCACGACCTCCGACAAAGCGGAGGAGGAGTCCTTAAGGGCCCTCACAAACGAGCCCTTAAGGTTCACGGACTTGGTGGCCACCTTGTGAATGACGGCCACCGCCGCTTTCGCCCTCTCCTGCACGGACACGGGAGCCTGGGGGGCATTTCCGCCCACCGGCTCCCGAACCTTGAGCAGGAGATCCGCGATCTCCTCCTCCGCTACGGCCTCGCCGTCCACCCGTACACTTCTGTAGGACTCCGCGTTGGAGAACGCGGAGCCTGACGGGGTTAAGACCGGGGCCGAGGCCGGTTTGCGCGCCCTCCCTCGGCGGCTGCTTGCCACCTTTGCTGGCATCATTTCGCCGGACGTGTCGGTCCCCTCTTCCCTGGAGCGTCCGCGTTTCCGGCTGTCGCTCCGCTCCGCTTCCATGGCCTCCGCGCCATCCGACGAAGCGGCAGATCCGGAACGCAGCCGATTCGATGCTCTTCGGCTCCCAGAGATCAGAGTCAGACTGACTTCTGGGAGCCCCATCGAGATGGGCGTTCCTGACACCATCTCACCCTCAGTGGATGACCCATCCACTCCACTGTTCCTCTTCTCTTGCATTTCAGAGTCCGTTTTGCTTGCCTGTTTCTGTTTGTTTTGTGTTGGTTGCCGTTTCTTTATATTTTTGTCAGAATTCATATTCATAAATAATCCCACGAGTGGGGGAGAACTAAAAGGTCCACCCGGGCAGAGATCCCCCATTACCCGGGCAAGCGTAAGTTTTTAACCCAACCGAGGGGTCCGCAGGTACCTCGGCTTGGAGTGCGCTCGCGACTGAACTTCCCATCAGCCATGCATCCCCTGGCCACGCACCAGAACACGGGATTCGGGGAATTTTTTTAGAGAGGTTATCTTCCTCGCGGTCCGGGCGGTTAAGCCAAGACCCTCGCCCCCGATCAGAGCCGCGAGACTTAACCACAGCGCTCTTCTCGGGATTACGATATGCCGACGGTTGACAGGGAGACTACGTCCCCCTGCCTGCTCGGTGGTAGTGTGAGTACACGCCGAGCCCGTCCTCCTTTCTCCACCGCTGTCAGCGGAGAAACTGTGGCCCCTACAGGGCCCCGCCATCAGGTTTTTTACCGAGGTTTCCTCCTCCATGCTCCGAAGAGCGAAGAGCCAGCAGGGCAACCGGCAGACACGCCCACCCTGCTGGACCAGGCCTTGCCCGAGAGCCGATGAACGGCTGCCTCTTCTGCTAGAATATTGGCCGCTGGCGATAATCCTCTCCTCCAAGAGGACAAGGAGGGAACAGTACCATCGCCAGCGTTTCCAGGGTGCACCACGAGGAGGTTTTCTAGCCCAGCACCCCAAACCCTATACCAACCCGTCTGGCCAGCGTGGTAGAGTAGGCCAAAACCTTCTTTCTAAGGAGAGGCCGATATACAGCAGTCGACTATTAATTCTGTTGATGATGTTGATGAGTAGTCTAAAAGGTGCATTTTGAGAGTTGATGTTTAGGGTTGGGTGTACATACATAATAATATGGCATACCACAAATATAGCTATAACAAGGATCGCGAGTGTGTTTCTCAGATTAGGCTTAATTTATTGGTGGTTATTGTGGATATGGAATGGAACCGCGCATGCAAACTGGCGACTTTAATTTTATTTTACTTTTGTTTCGGTTACACTTGGATTCCTCTGATGCAGGGAACTAGGTACCTTTCATTATAAATAGCTAATATCAGTTGGAGGGGTGGGAGAATAAGTATTCTACGCAGTTACTACCACAAACGATTCTTTTTTTACGGTTCTGAACATTGTCATTAATAATGCACTACAGTTTATATGTGTAAAACAAAGCAATATATTCTTGATGTAAGGGCAATATATCTTGTTTCAAAGTTTCTTTGGTTTGATAACAATTTATGAATATTTATACAATTTTCATTGTAAAAAGATATACAAGTGAATTAGGACTAGGGGCGCAAAATGTATAAGTTTGTACTCACAAAATATTTAAGCCCTATATAAATATTATTAAGTGTAAGAAGACCGACTCGCAAAAAAATTATCGATTTGCTTAAACAAAATCTGCGTACAAATTTATCTTCAGAGAGTTTAATAAACAGGTAGGTAAAAATATTGCTTCGTTTTTTGTTTATTTTGGACAACAACAAAGCATACTCATATCCTGACACATTTTACACCAGGACGTTTGGCTTAAACTAAATAATTTAAACTAGGCAGAGCCTGTACTGTGGTAACCAGTCAGCAGATAAACAGACATATGTTTATTCCTAAATACATTCATATTTTAGATAAATTACAATTACAACAAATTATCGTATTCGTAGAAACAATTTCGTTAACAGCGCCACTAGTTACAGGATTTGCCTACCTGGTTACCAGACAAGGGAAGAGGTGATATTTTTAATGCAAATATGGATTTATATAACTTAAGGGCGTGCACCCGAGAAAAACTTCTAAGGCCCCGCCTAGATCTAGAAATACTTGGTTTAGTGTAAGGGGTTGAATGCAGCACACTACTGCGACTACCGTTATATGTACATACCTACTACAATATTTTTGCAGTGACGGTTTATTGACGACCTTCTCGCTCCTCTAATAGCCTAGTAGTTCATTCGCATCGAAGCCTCCCCCAACAAGAGTTTAGACGCCAGACCCTTTAAGAATCCAATGATTTAAAACAAAAAAATGTATTTACAAGGTAAACGTTTTTTAAACTATAATACTATAATTTAAACTATATTTATTTTTGCTGTTTAGTAATTAATGATGATTAATTTCTATGTAAGACTATGAAGTCACATATGCTTTTGCACACGCCTCTTAGTACCTAGCAAAAGACACTACCGTATTTTAGGTATGGAAAATTAATCCGTTAATCCTGAAGATCCTGATTTGGATAATCGTCAAAATTTCTCTAATTATTGTATTGTCACCAGTCAATCATGTTCGAAGATTCCGTTACATACTTACCAAGCTAATAAAAGCGTGTTAAAAAGCCAGTTTCATGATCAAGCTGTGTAACGTTTCTTCAGGGTAAGCCTCTTGGTGCCACCGACAGGTGGTATCCGAGGGGATTTCCGCACGGAAAAAAAAAAAAAAGGGTAAGCCTCTTGGATGTCAGTCCATGAAGACATATTATTATTGTAACACAGAATTACCAAATCCACACTCCTTACATCGACAATATTGTGAGACAAATCCAAATATTTTTATATTTTCTTCTGTCATAAGGTGTTCGTCATCATCAACAGCGCCATCTACAGCGCGGTTTAGGCATAAATCCGTTTACAGCGCCTGCTGACATATTTTCAGTTGTGGCTTACCAAACTTCGTGAACAGTTTTCGGTCAATGAGTTAATTATTAAATGGTGAAATATGTCAAAGAATAACATTACTCAGGTTCTTTTGATCGTTACCACACAACACCAGATGTAAAATTATTCTTAGCTTGTATATGTGTATTCTTCACATAATATAACATCTCTGAAACACGTGACAAAGTTACAATGTACAAATTAAAATCGGTAGAAAGAAGTAAGATCTAAGAAATAGCCTAATAATCCTTTCTTAGCATACAGGTGTATGCTAAGAAAGGAAAACGACGAAGTGGTGGCGCTGACTACGTGGAACAGCGCCACAAGTCCACCGTTTTCAACGTTGTGCTACTAGGCTACCAGAAAAGCAGGGAAGTGAACATTTTATTACAAATAGAGATAACTAAATGTGATAGGCGTGCAATACGCGCACCTCCAGTAGCCCCACCCTTATGTAGACCTGTGTGGGGTTTAGGACGAAAACATCACACTATTGTGTCTACCGACAAGCACACCTAGATCGTGACTACAACAACATAGTAGTGTAGTGAGTGTTTACTACCTCTTCATTCTTCTCCTAGCCTAGTAGTAGAACTCCGACAACAGGTCATGGAAATCTTGAAGTAACATAGTCACAAAAGTTCCACAGTTAAGATAGAAAACAAGGCTTCCAAAACCAAAATATAATTTGCAATTTACTAGCTTTTGCCCGCGGCTCCGCTCGCGTGTATGGTGGTTATCGTGGTAAAAAGTAGCTTATGTTACTCGCTGACAATGTAGCTTCCCACTGGTGTTTTTCTTTGCTGATTGATCTGTTTAGTGGTTTATGCGTGAAAGCGTAACAAACAAACAAATGAACTTTTACATTTATAATATAAGTATGGATTGTATACGTGTGTGCAACCTCCTTTCTAAGGAGAGGCCTATGTCCAGCAGTGTTGATGATGAAGTTTATGTTTTTAGGGTTCCGTACCTCAAAAGTTAAAAAAGGAACCCTTATAAGATCACTTTCTTGTCCGTCTGTCCGTATGTCTGTCTGTCCGTCTATCCATCTGTCCGTCTTACCGTCTGTTCGTGGGTCACCACCAATTTTCTCAGGAACAGGTAGAACTTTTTTTTTTTTGACGGAGTGGAAAATCCCTTTGGATCTCCTGCTCCTCGGGGACTCAGGAGCCAGGAGTATGTGGTGATTCCACTAAAAACCACCCCCCCCCCGGCCGGCCTTAGGTCTCCTCTGGGGAGGACCCGGATCATGTTATTTCAGGTCCTCCCCGAATTGACACCATGCCTAATCAGGCCCTATCCAGGGGGGGAGAACACTTCCCCCTTCAATCGCGGCATGGCGGCCCGATCGCATCTTAATGCAATCAGGCCGGCCATTACATCCCCTACCGCAGAAATCAATCTGCCACCAGAGGGCGCCAACGTCCTCTACGTTCGAGATCGGCCCTCTCCCGATCCCGTTCAGCGGTCTCTTTCTGGAGCATTACAGCTTCACAGAAAGAGACCACTGCGCCCCAGCCCTCCTCACCTGCCAGCATGGCAGCAATGATTGCTGGCGGGGACAGGTCTCGTCCGATTTGGTCGACCAGGACCTCACGTTCAGACGCCCACGCGGGGCAATCTTCCAGCGTATGCTGAGCGGAGTCCCAGTCGGCTGCGCAGTGCTGGCATTGTGCTGTCACCTCGCGTCCAATCCGATTCAGGTACTCCCCGAAGCAACTGTGCCCAGTGAGTACCTGCGTCAGTCGGTAGGTGACGCGACCTCTCTCCCTACCTACCCAAGCTTCAAGGTTAGGCAGAACGGCACCGACAGCGCGTTGGCGCGCATTAGAAACAGGTAGACCTAGCAAGTTAAAATTTATACCAGATACTGAGGTCTATGGTCCCTATTAGCTGTATAAAAGTCAAGGTCTTGAGTCAACAACATCAAACTTGTAAGTACCAAAATTTTCCTTTTTTTTTTTCAGAATTTCCACTTTACTTGTACTGTAAGACCTTGCTGTTAACCAAAATTCACAATTCTAGGTCAACCGGAAGTACCCTATAGGTTTTGGGTCGAAAACCTATATGGTAGTTCCCGTTGACCTAGAATCGCGAAACTTGGCAAAAAGAAACGTTTACAGCACAAATAAAGGAATAATTCAAAAAAATAAAAAAGTTGAAAATTAAGATACATTTTGGTACTTACAAAATTTCTCGAAAATCTACGTAAAATCTGGGTAGGTACGGAACCCTTGACACACGAGTTCGACTCGTACCTGACCGGTTTTTTTTATATACGTATGCAAATTTCAAAAAATCTATGTCTCGATGGAAGGCGCCTCTCTAAATAGGTGGGGACTGTCATAAATAAGACTAAGGCCCCAGCCATTTTGTGTATGGCACTTTATGTAATGCTCTCAGTATTGATGTTAGTGCGATTTCCAGGTAAGTTCTCCGTCTATCCTGGAAAACAGACAAATGAATTTTTCGTCGACGAATTGGTATTTTCTCAATGTATTTCTCAAAGAAAACATTTTTTTCCTAAATATAGTTAAAAAATCTCGCGTTTTTTAAGATGCACGCAAAGCAAAATTCGTTCGATACGTTTACTTGTGTGTGTGTGTGTGTGTGTGTATTTGTTAGTTGCAATAAAACTGTAGTGTGTATCGTATTTATTAAGACACACTACGATGTACCAAATAGGGGTGGGAATTTGATGCGCCCTACCCATTCATCGATTTTCTCCTGCAATGATACCTCCGTGTTTTCCTGTTAGCCTAGTACAACGGGGTCAAAAACGTGTGACTTCGGTGCTGTCGGTCATTTAAGGAATGAAGTTTGAACGTATCTTACGTTAATATCTGTATAGGTGTTTTTATATATAAAAATTTAATTTATTTATTAAGATTTAAATTATCTTTTAGAGAAAAATATTTAAATCAGTGCCCCGAGCACGAACTTGCGAAAAAAGTATTCGTATCGTCTTAAACAAAAATTTGTATGAGATTTGTGCAGCGCCCCCTATCTACGTAAATGTAACTAATTTGGGCAGCACGAACGTTTTCAATTTAATTTCGTATCGTAATTGTATCGTCAAGCAATCGATACGTAACACTTTATAAAGTAAATTGAAAGCAGCACGAAAAAAACAGCACGAATGCAATTTTGACGTACGTTAGAAAGCTGGCGCGCACCAGTCGAGCTTAGTCGAATGTTTATTCACTTAAGAATTGGCCGTGAGAAAAGTTACAAAACAATAAATTTCTTTCAAAACTATTACTTTCAAGTATTCAACTGTTTATTTTCTTGTGGAAATAAAATGCAAAGACCGCCACTTTAGTCCTATGTATGTTCGGATGTATGGTGAACAAAAAAAAGCGCTGAAAAGAGATCACAATAATCTTTAGTCTCTAAAAATAAAAAGGTACTTAAATATACTAGGAATCGTCTAGAGGTTGTCCAATATTGATTTTAAATTTTTGAAAAATATATATTCCTGAAATTATTTATTTATTTATTTATTTTTACACTTCCTGCATTACAGTTTGCACGAGGCGGACTTAATGCCACATGGCATTATCTACCAGTCAACCTTAAGATGGTTCAGTAAGGGGCATGGCAGGTGCACATATATTATGTAATAAGAAGAGAAGCTATGAAAATATAACATTAATTTGATAATACTATTTGAAAGAGATAGACGAATACATAGATAACTATTAATATATTATACATACGGAATATAATAAATACAATAAAGTTTGGGTGACGATATCATGAGGATATTTCTGCTAGCTGTTTCCTGTACAATTCGCGGACTTTAGCTTTGAACGTGTCACGACTTCCTGACATCCTGATCTCAAGCGGGAGCGCATTCCATAGTAGGATAGACTGGACAGCAAATGAAGAATGAACAAGAGAAGAAGTGTGGATTGGATTCAAGAGTAAATGATTATTAGTGGACCGAAGATCTCTGTCATGGTTGGAGCATAGCGGTTTAAGCTGTGAAGTGAGATAAGTGGGAGCTGTAGGATTATTAAGAAGAGAATAAAGGGTAGCCAAGGCGCGCAAGCTACGGCGCTGACGTATAGGTAACCATGACAGCTGGCATCGATAGGCAGACACATGGTCATACTTGCGGAGGTTGAAGATGAATCGAATGCAATTATTGAGAAGTCGATCAAGTTTGTTGAGTAGATCTGCATTCAGGTCGAGATAGCATACATCACCATAATCGATGATTGGAAAGATCAAAGCCTGTACAAGCATTAACTTAGTAGTATGTGGAAGAAAGTTTTTTAGCCGATACAGTGATCGCAAGGTTCCAGTGACTTTTTGACTTACGTTTGCAACCTGCTGTTGCCAAGTGAGGCTGGAGTCAATCCATAAGCCAAGATCTTTGACAAATGGACTGATCGGCATGTCGGATCCGTTGTAAACGATCGCCGGCAGGTTTGATGTGTTTAATCTGCTCATCATTCTGGGGCTACCTATAATTATGGACTGACACTTGGAGGGATTCACACTTACGCCGAAACGCTCAGACCATTATTCAAGTTATTAAACTTATGTATATACAAGCTAAAGTGTCATGGTATTGGTCAAATCAAAATATTGTGCTGTAGACGTGTAGCTTCATAAAGCCGGTTTGACATAATTTTTTAATTTAGAAATCAACATTTTTTAATGAGGGAGGTAAGATAAGGAAAACCACAAGTTTAGAATAGATGAAGGGGCTGAAAAGACAGTAACTCGAATTGGCCCACCTCATATTGGTCTAAGATACATGTGTAAACTCAATTATACACAGAATACATAGAAAAACCCCCACCAATGACAAAGAGACATGTGTCGTGATCATGAACGTCCAACCCGCTACCTCTAGTACTCTGATACTATTATTTTTTTATCATTTCAATTTAGTTATTCGAGTGACCAGACTCATTAGTTTAGTAATACTTACTAGTACGTCTATGCTAGTAAATTTAATTATAGAGTATGTGGATTACCGCTGTTCTATCCCGGCAGAGACAGCACAGCAGCGACTCACATACGTACAATCTAGCCTAGCTACCTAAGATGCTGTTAGAGCTGGCTCGGACCCTGCGCACCAGCGATGCTCACCTCTTTCGTATCATTGCGTAGCAGTCTACGTGTGTGTCCACGATCGAAGCGAAGCGAGGCAGCCCAACCAGCATCCTGAACGCATTGTTATATTTTAATCTGAGGGCGTTACAGGCTTTTGAGTGAATCTATGCCTTCAAATTGATAAGAAAACAATTTTCTTGTGTTGTTGTTGTTTTTTTTTCAATCCTAAGCTGAGGGAATAATAAGCTATGTCGCGCACTTACACAGGCCCTTAGTCATCCGAGGAGATATATTCAGAGGAAACTATTTGTAATGAATCAGCTGACGTAGTGTGTATTACTCATTGTGCAATTTGATTCGATTGCAACCCCTCTCTAGGGTGGGTATTTAATACACTCGTTCCATTAAAAACATCCCCACGTCAAAAACTTTCTACAAGTCTTCTATACACTTCTGGTAGCCTAGTACTCGAAGTCCAAAAACATGTATCTTGAGATAGCGCTAAGAGCGTCTTAAGGAAGTTAACTTTAAGTTATCTTTTATCTCAAGCAGCAACGTACTTGTGACTCTTGACTTGCAGATGTCCGTGGGCGGTTGTAATCACTTACCATGGTGACCAGTCTGCTAGTTTGCCCCCAATATCATAAAGAAAACTAAGGTACCCTAATTCTAGACTTCAAGAACAAGGGCAGTAACGTAATCGAACTGCAATTACACATCGATATAATTATCGATATATTTATATGTTTATCAGTATATTTAAATATACCCAAAGCAAAATACAGCTAAAAAATTAATTACGATAGATGAAGTTTTAATTAAATTTGAAAAAAAAAGATCTAAACAGCTTCTTGTTTTTTTGTTTCTATATGAAATATTTCAAATAATAATTTAATTAACTATGTTACAGTCGCATTCCTAACAGTGAAGCTCCTGGTTACAGTTTGTAATAAGTTCTTCATAATATGTACTGAACCAACAACGCCTTAAAAATCTAGAAGATTTCAATTTCAAATATCCTTTGTCCTTAAACTTAACGATTTAAATAAACAGCGCCGCCAGTCACGTGTTCTCGACATTGTACTGTACTAGAGAAGCAGGTAACGTGAAGAGGTAATTTTCAAAAGTAACTTGGCACAACGGGGTTCCGTTAAACCATACACACAACTAACGCCATCTTCTGGTCTTTTTTAAACTAAATAGCGTAGCAGTCTGTCGACGTAGCTGTTTCTACCCTCGTAGACCTTGTAGCTATTTTAACCGTGCTGTTCATATCTGCCATCTAGCGCTCATTTTAAGAAATATTTTAGCTGTGTATGCGATTAAAAGTGTTTTACATTGAACTTGCTTGTTGACAGATGGCAGAAAGAGTGTTAAATTTGTAAATATTTTTTATGTATCTGTCAGAAACTTCCTGATCATTACATTTTATTATTAATACATGATAGATTCACGCGGAATAGAGCCTTTTCGAGTCCCCTGAGGCTTGTAGTTACGGTGGTTTTTATTATAGTGAGATGCAAAGGAAGTCCTTCCACCCCGTCACCAAACAAAAAAAACTTGATAGACTACATTATTTTAAATCATAAATCGGTTCAGCGGTTTAAGCGTGAAGAGGTAACATACAGACAGACATACTTTATTATGGATTGTTATACTGTGCTTTAATTTGCCACCTTTAGGGATGTGGTAGGTGGTATATTTCTTTATATCTCAATGGCACCAAATGGGAAGCGTATGATCCCAATCAGACAAGAAATGTTCTAAAGGTGGTTACGCACTTTTGACTCTTGAGTGCAGGTGTCAATGGACGACGGTAGTCACTTACCATCAGGATTCCAGTCTGCTCGTAAGCCTATGATATCATAAAGAAAAAGTCTTCTAATTATCTCTTAGCTGGTTCATCGGCGATGTACTTGCCTCGTAAGATATTGTCGACCTGCAGACCCAGCAGGGTTACTCTCTACGAAACCTTCTGAAGGAACCCGAAATTCTCTAATTAGGCCTATGGTACAGCGCTTTTTTTATAACCGGTGGAAACCCTCTCGGGCCGTCACCCAGCCGGGGTTTTGCAATAAGGAGCCGAGTCCTCACTGCAATCGCAGTAGTGACAGATGGGACTCAATTCCCTCCTAGCGACAGAGTACAGGTACTTTCCAAAGCAGCCGTGTAGTGCAGTGCCTGGAAAGAACCTGCGTCAGCTGAAAGGAAAGGGTCCCGTGCTGCCGCCCTGCCCACTCCCAAATCCAGCACGTGAATCCCCCAACCGGGACGACCAACGAGCCATCATGGCTCGGCGAGCTTAGCTAGTTATTAGTAGTCCATTGCTAGACATATGCCTCTCCATAGAAAGAAGGTTTTTGCCTACTATACTACGCTGGCATGACGGGTTGGTATAATAATAATAATATTCTAACACATTCACACAACGCCATCTAGCCCCAAACTAAGCAGAGCTTGTACTATGGCTACTAGACAACTGATATAAATACATATATACTTTTTTTTTGTAAATACATACATATTATACATAGAAACACCCAGACCAAATCAAACATTAAATGTTCAAGCACACAAATGTTTGACTTGAGCGGGAATCGAACCCGCGACCTTTGGAATAGCAGTCCGTTACACAAACCACTATGCCATCCGGTCGTCAAAAGGGTATAGGGTTTGCTGTCAAGTTTTCCTTCTCTTTGCAGTGCTGTTGTCCTGCGTAATACATACCAATAACCGATAAATTTAATAAATATTTAGGACATCAAACACACAACGCCATCTAGTTTCAAACTGAACTTGTACTATGAAAGCTACATTGGCTGATAGAATACTTATATACATTTCTTTTGTAAATACATACATATTATACATAAAAATACCCAGACCAAATCAAACATTAAATGTTCAAGCACTCAAATGTTTGACTTGAGCGGGAATCGAACCCGCGACCTTTGGAATAGCAGTCCGTTACACAAACCACCATGCCATCCGGTCGTCAAAAGGGTATAGGGTTTGCTGTCAAGTTTTCCTTCTCTTTGCAGTGCTGTTGTCCTGCGTAATACATACCAATAACCGATAAATTTAATAAATATTTAGGACATCAAACACACAACGCCATCTAGTTTCAAACTGAACTTGTACTATGAAAGCTACATTGGCTGATAAAATACTTATATACATTTCTTTTGTAAATACATACATATTATACATAAAAATACCCAAACTACGAAACAAATATATTTCCAGATCATACTTACTAACAGAAAGAATATTTGTATATGTATGCTTAGTCAGATTTCCATACAAATACGTATTGTGAGGAGGGGTAGGGCTATATAACAAAACCATTACTGAATTTCTTTACCATTTACTACAATAACATATTTAAATTAGTATAAAATGCAAGATATTGTAAAAAGTATCTTCAATCAATCAAACTTCTCCATTCTACGATTCTCTCGCACTCCACGTCGTAACTTCTGATCTCGTCCAACTCCAAGACAATCACATCCACGTCATCCGGACATATTGACGCGTCGAAATCCGGTGTTTCGTCATAGTACTCTATAGAACTAAACATATACTCACCCCTTCTACTCTTGGAATTCTGTCCTTTCTCAACGTCTTCTTCTTTACTTCTATCTTCTTTATCTATTACTTTCATAGTTGGAGTGGTCGCTTGATGATACTCTGTGTTACTTAGAGTAGATGTAGCGTCGCTTGTATTTTGGACCGCAGAAGAATTTTGACCTGACTGCTCATTTTGAATTTTGACTGTTTGCTCTTTTGTAACTTCTAGCTTATCTTCTGCCTTTGCTAAAACCATTATTTCTTTAGTTTTCGGTAATGCTTTTGGAACTTCTAAATCAACATTGCAAGTCTCATCATCAACTATTTCGGATACATTAAATGGTATAGGATCGGAAGATACAAAGTTTACTAGGGCGCCATCACTCTTAAGAGCCTTTCTGTATCTTCGGGCTCTGTCTTCGAAAGTGTCTCCAACACAATGTCTTCTGCCTTCAAGACTGAGATGTGCCACGTGCCACTGCTCGTCATCCAAATCTTTAGCAAACCTGTCATCGTCAATTTTACTCTCTTGTTCGTTGGTATTGTCAGCTAAATCATTTAATGTTTCACATTTAACTACAGGTAATATTAAAATAACTAATACTTTCAATTGGACGTTCATTTTTAAGGAAACAATCACATTTATCAATTACTTGGTAAAAAACACAATCTTATTTTTTGATATCTATGTTTTGAAATGGCCGATAGGGCGTGAAGTTGATAATATGTACATTGCCTATTTTGTACTTTTATTTCGGCTGAGATTTACGGAGGTGCAAGAGTTTTATATAACATCCTTTAGAAGCTTCATTCCAGTAGTGGTAGAAAGTAAGGCGGTTCTTATAAAATGTGTTTATTCAGCAAAGGTAAAAATGTTTGTTAATGATAATCGGTGGGTTGTGAAATTAACTTGCAAATAGGCAACACGTGCACAGGATATGAATTATTTTTTGAAATAGAGACTGAACAAGGAGACAGTTCTCCTGATGGGAAGTGACGTTAACCGCTTATGGACATCTGCAACTCGAGAGGTTTAGGGGCAAGGAGGTAACTGGAGACCCAACTCGGGGCGAGTTGGCCCTTAACCTCATTGACTAGGCGAAAAGCTACGATAGAATTGCTTGACACCGGCTTTCCATGAGGCCAGAGCCTAAATCCCGCATCCCCCTAGTTCTGGAGTGGAGTCTCACAAACGAATTTGTGACTCTTAAGTTGTATGTGTCCATGGGCGGCGATAGTCACTTACCATCTCAAGTGACCCGTCACCGTGTTCGGATTGAAGTTCCTTTTGCTTTTTGGTAGATCTGGGATAATTAAGTCAATAAGAAATAAAAAAAAAATATACACGTCTGTAACTATAGCAAGAAGTGTCGGGCAAAAGTCTTGTTACACCTTTTTCGGTCTCGCTCCCATCCGCTCAGAGCGTGTCTCGCGCGATAAGGAACTTCGATACAAAAACTGAGTATAACAAAGAAATAACAAAGAATTAATGTTGATAAAATTAAATACAGTAATGATCGCATTGATTCCCACAGATTATACACACGCCAACGCACAGACACAAACATAATCTGTGCAAATAATTCCTAACAAAAGTATACAAGTGAACCCGCCCATTATAAAGGCATCATTGACAGATCGTTATCTGCGTGCTAACTAATCCATTCAACCTCGGGTAGCATAACTACCCTCCAAACGTCGGGAAAATACTTAAATTACCCTCCCATCCCTCTCGCTCGTAACACTCCCCACTGCGAGATCAAAACAGCCCAATTACGCAGCCCACCCTTTAATAAACCCTCGTTTGCTCAAATCTAAAATAAAGACGGATAAATAATCAACAATTTTGAAACGAAAAGCTACAAATTAGCATTCGTTTGAATAAATTGAACAGTTAATGCGACTCTGAGACCCGGTCAAAGTTGTCCGTGGTTAAAACAGAGTTTTAAAGCATTGCCACGCTTTAAAGCAGGTTGTTATTCTAAGTATACAATTTGTACGATTACGTCGGCACCGCTGCAGCTGCTAGGAAATCATTTCAAATGGTAACAACTCACTAAAGAGATGTAAATTGGGAGCGGTTGGCAGCCATGATTCAGAATGGCGCCAAAACATTTGCATAATTTGAAGAGAATAGAATGGCGTGTCGTGAAATGGAGCTTGATTGAAAAGTCGTAAGTGATTTTAAGATCATTTTACTTGATATCAACGATTGAAAGTGTTTTTTAAGTTCAAGCTATCTACAAGTACTCGTACATATCATTATTTTGTCAAAGAAGGTGTTGTTGGTAACCGTAAAAAATTCACTACTATTTTTTACATAGGTTTTAATTTGACGTAACTAAGAGACGTAGCGATGATAAAATCGAACTAAAAGATATCGATTGCACAATTAAAACTAGTTCGTTTATACTGAAAATACAATCGATTTGCTATCAATAACTTACTGACAAAAAGATGGATTGTTAAAATTATTTGAGATCGTATTAGTATCAAAACTATCCATTTTTGTTACTTCTCTAATTGAGTACAGAGCAAGATAGGTCCAATTCCATCAAAACGTCATGTAAAGAAAAAAGTATTGTATCTTATGTATGCATTAGTCCTGAGTTATACATCTATCTAATACATACACACTCATATGAGGTTATCGTGAGTTTGGATGAAAATATTGCATTTTTTACATAGCTTGACAGACATGAAAATTCTGGTAACTTATTGATTTCTCTTTGAATTGCATATCATTGAAATAATCTTATTTGTTGAGAAATTCAAAACCATTTCCATAATGATTATTATTAATGTTAAATAAAAGTTTACTCGATTTAACTTGATTTCTCTGTGAAGTCTCGGTATCAAATCATTTAATACTTATAAAACGAACCTGCGCTCAAATAACGTCACTACTCAAAAAATATGTTCCACTTTTATGTTTCACTTTTGGGTTTTAGTTTAAAGGATTAACAAAACGGTTTGGGGTAATTTAGAAGCTTGCTTGGAGCCTTAGTTGTGAAGTTATTCAAACAGAGGTGTGACGTTGTTTTTTTTGTAAGTCTATATGAAATAACTATTTTTAGTTGGATAGACTGTTAACTCTAGTAGGCCAAAATCTCCTTTCTAAGGAGAGGCCTACGTACTATTAAAGGCTGTTGATGTGTGATATGACGTGGTCTGCACTTCTTCTGCCTATAAACATTAGGTATTCTAAATATTATACATATATGTTTCCATGCGCCATATTTGAGTAACCAGGGGTACAAAGTATTTTATTGACGTATTTATATATACATAGATAATAAAAGACAGAGGCTTATGTGGTTCTTAATCATTTTAATACAAGGACTTTATACATATCTTACAGAGTAATAATTAATTTATAATATTTTCTAATTTTACTATTAAAATTTGGAATGAAATTTCCTAATGCTGACGACCGTAATAACGTCAGGAAAAAAACATACAAATAAAACAGTTGTATGGAAATTTTCAACCTGCCTTCTAACGGCGAACATTTCGTAAAGTGAATTAAAACAAACTAAAAAATCATAATATTCTTTGGTCTATCACGCATAACATTACAATCCAAAAACTAAACATCGCTTGTAAAAAGTTCTAGAGCACATATATTATAAACAAAATAATATATACACTTCTTTAGAAATACAATCATTTTTTACATATAAAACACAATTCGTGCGTACAAATATTTGCACTTGCACAAAACCTAAATATTATTTTTAAACAACTTAGTTAAAATAAATATTGCCGAACAGTTTTTACCACCAACTCTAGAGATGTTAATAATCAATATAAAGCTTACGCTCTCAGTGCTAATTCGCGCGAAGTTCTTCTGTAGTTCTACTTCTAGATTAAAATTTCTACAACTCTATCTCCTACAGAAAATACTTCTAGAGACCTTTTTACTTCTTGTAAATCACTAAAGTTACACACATTATATACTTATCTTTCAATCAACGGCATTGGCAAAAAAGAAAAGACTTTACTCTCATTTTTTTAAATACATCTTTCATTTCTTCTACTTATAGAATAGAAGAAATTAATTAAATAAATCTTATATATAAAATTCTCGTGTCACAATGTTCGTTCCCGTACTCCTTCGAAACGGCTTGACCGATTCTCATGAAATTTTGTGTGCACATCGGGTAGGTCTGAGAATCGGCCAACATCTATTTTTCATACCCCTAAATGGTAAGGGTGACCCATCCCTAATTTTTTTTGTTTTGCAATACAACGTTTGCCGGGTCAGCTAGTAATATAAATAAACCTCTGTTACGTCACACTGTTAATAACAGAGTGATCGAACTCTTATTTTTTATTGGACAACATATTAATTAATATACCTAAACGCAACTAATCTAGTTGTTCTATAGCTACTTTCTAAATGTCTTAACATACCTTAACAGGGCCTCAATTCTGCTATTACGCCAAGCCAGTGTCATACCACTGACACGCTATTGAGATGCCATCGAGTGGCCATTGGCATTGGTATAAATATCGGTAGTTGAAAATATGTTACGTTTTTTGAGGAAATGATTTATTTGTTTTTAATAAATTATTAAAAGAAATAAATAAATTAAAATAACTTATTAAAAAAAATTAAAAAAAAAGGAAATAAATAAATTAAAATAATTATTAAAGAATAAAATATAAAAATTATAAAAAAGAAATAAATAAATTATTAAAATAAATAAATAAATTATTAAAAAAAAAATTAAAGAAAGATAAATAATATTTATTAAAATAAAAAAAATATTAAAATTAATAAGTCATTTCCTTATAATTTGAAAATATATTACGTTTTTTTAAGGAAATTATTTTTTATTTTTATTATAGTAAATTATTAAAAAAATAAAATTATAAAAAAAAAGAATTAAACAAATTATGAAATAAAAAAATTAAAATTAAAAACAATTTAAATAAACAAATAATTTCCTTATAATTTGAAAATATATTTATTTTAATATTATTTTTACTTTTTTTGTTAATAATTTATTTATCTTTGTTTTATAATTTTTATTTTTTAAATAATTTATTTTTATTTATTTCTTTCTTTTAATAATTTATTATAATAAAAATAAAAAAAATCATTTCATCAAAAACGTAATATATTTTTAACTACCGATATTTATACCGATGCCAATGGCCACTCGATGGCATCTCAATAGCGTGTCAGTGGTATGACACTGGCTTGTCGTAAACATAAAATAGCAGAATTGAGGCCCAGGTAACAATTCGGTTATTTGATGGGATTAGGGGATGAGTCGATAGGACAAGTAAAAAAATTTATGGGACCTTTCACTATTATGTGTTTATACAAAAACAAAACATAAGTTAAACAAGTCCAAATAAACTGAGATGCATAAATTTATTTATTGAAAATGGGATACAGTTGATTTATGAGAACAAATATTTGCAAATACAGAAACTTTGCATGAGAGTTTTATAAAATCGTAGTAGGTAATCATAACATGTTTTATTCTATTACATACGACGTTGTTTAAATGTTAAAAATATAAATAATAATAACAATATAAACAAAACTTTTTAGTGCGCTGAATCATTCATAAAAATATACAGTGATATACATTGTAATCTCAGACAATGTAGTTTGATCCCAAACTAGACAGAGCCTGTACTATAGTAACCAGACTGCTGAGAAACATACTTATATATTACTAAACTTTCTAACTAAACTAATTATACATGATGATTATGATGATGAGCTATACAAATTACACCCGGACATAAAACAAATGATTGTGTTCACACAATTATTTAAACAACAAATTACAAAAATCGAACTCACGACCTCTGGTTCAGCAGTCAGACTAACTAACCACAAAACCAACAGGCTATTCGAATATCAAACATAAAAATAACATTTAACACATGTTTTAAAATCAACCTTGAATGTTTTAAGTTTAAATTACCAGACTAGTACGATATCCGGTCAATTGCATGTTTCAGAAAAGTCCTTGGACCTGACATGGGCTGTTTATCAAGGACCAAAGTAAAATGTGGCGTCGAGGTCAGATGCAAATTAGTTGGTCTTCTAAGAAACACACAAATAAGTACAACCGTATGATTATTCTTATAAATGTATGTTAAATAACTGTTATTATTATAATGCTCACTATTAGCAGTACGGTATTAAAGGTGGCAGTGCATGTAGGTGGGGTACGGCGGCAGTAACGCACAAGCGAGCGGCAGTGCGTGCGCTGCCAACTCACGCTCACCGCTCGCCGCCTGCGCACGCAGCTGCTCCAAGCGCAACTGGTTCTGGCGCTTCCATTTTGTCCTGATGTAAACGTATTTTATTTCTTTTATAACAATATCTCACATATCTAACACACGGCCGTCTGATTCCAAACTAAGCAGAGCCTGTGCTATGATAATCAGACTGCTGATAAACATACTTACATATTTCTAAATACATAGATATATAATATAGGTAAATTACACCCAGACACAGAACAAATTACTTTGCTCTTGTGCTCATCAGACAATTATTTATCGTGGTTGGGAATCAAACCCACGACCTCTGGCTTAGCAGTCATGATCACTAACCACTAGACCAACAGGGCCATCATTTATATATTTTTTTATTTACGACTTACATATATCAGACATCAGAATTCCTATTTCTATATTTGGCGCCCAACTTGGTGTAATTTTTATTACTCTTTCTAATTTACTCCACTTACTTTAGTAATAAGTATTAGGATCAGAAAGTACTTCTATATTAGGAGACACCTGTTATAAACGAATACAACAAATATATTATATTGCTAATAATATAATATTCCATTCTGCTCGTGTTTTTTTTTTCAAAGATTCGCAACAGCTGTATTAAAACATGGAAGAGCGTTAAATGACAATGTCCTTTAAATTGTACAATGTAGTAAGATTTTAAAGTAATTATACCAGTTCACTTGTAGCAAACTTACCTTCTATTCTGATACCAAGTCTTGACTTGCGTCTCGCTGAGACTAAGAGCCTCAGCCACGTCTCCTCGGTCGGCTACGCTTAAGTACTTCTGGCAGCGAAACTTGCGTTCCAAGTAGGCAAGTTGTGCGTGGGTGAAAGCAGTGCGACGTCTTCGTGGCTTGCGGCTCGAGGTGGAAGCTCCGGTGGGTCGACTTGACTGGCGATCTGGACAAGGATTTTTATTTTTATATCTTCCTGACGTTCTATGTCTTCAGGACGTTAAAATGACTTTCAATTTCTTACGTTCTTTAATCATCATAGTTTAATAGTCCCCTGCTGGACATAGGCATAGTCCAGCAGGGGACTATTAAAGGCTCAGATCTTACCCGGTATCTAAAGACATGAACTAACTTCTAACAATTTTTTTAAACTTGTTTTGGGTAGTTCATAAGAATCAATATTATTAGACTGAACGGATTTGCGTACTTCCTACGGCGTTGAGCGTTGTTAGTTCGATGGGACACCCACATGGGACACCACTTTGTGTGATCCACAAATTGTTCTTCTGAGTCTGGGTGGTAAGAGTCGCGAGACACGGGATATATTCCCAATGCGGAACGCCCCGAGAATAAAGTTGTCTTCCTTTTAAAAATATCTCTTTAGCAATATATCTTCAAGATCATCCGAAGATATATAAGAATACGTTGCTGCATATTTCAAGTCATGGTAAGGAGAAACAAACTACTATATACTACAACATACGACTACATACTGGAAATAACAAGGATACTCAATATAGCGCTAAACATTGCATAAAACATTTAGTTAAATACACAAAGAACTCTCGAAATAAACAAACACACATGTAAGCGCGTCTTGATTGAATGGCTACTAAAACAAGATTACGTCAGTACCAAGTCATTGCTCACCTTAAACACACTTTTACTTACGACCGCGCACACACACAAGCACACACACACAGGCATACACACACACGCATACACTTCATAGTACCATAGCATGCAAGTTTAAAAATAATACACAAAGCAATCACAACTGCTCTCAATTAGAAAAGTAATATCTAATATTGTATAAATGTATGGGCAAACAATGTCTTTTAAGATACAGTTGTCACCTAGTTTAAACAGGTTTTTCACCAATTGAACATGGATGTTATTATTATTATAGTTAATTCACTACATAGCAATAGTTATTATGACTGTTTTACCGTTTGAATCTTGAGACTCCCGTTGTGTGCTTCCAGCAATTACTGATGCAAATCCAGCCAATAGCTGTGACTGGAATGAGCTCTTCGACAAATCCATAGACCTTCCATAGATACTATCTGATAAGGGTCCGCCTAAATGCTCATAGCTTTCGTTTGTTTCATTTTTCTTGCTGTCTCCCTCTGGTCTGTACAGATGAAAGAGACTTGTATCGTACAATTTCATTCGTTCTTCAGATCTGTTTTCATACTCATTCTCATCTCTTTTGAAAGGTGAACTGTAATTTGTTTGATTATACTCTAAGGGTGACGAAGGTCTTGTCTCCTCTCCATCGAATTTATTTTTGTAGTCATTGGCTTCCAATGAAAATTGAGAATTTTTGGGTGTGGATGTGTCACTTCTGTTATCGCCCACGGAAATCTCATCTTCAGCATCTGAAGGCTCTGGATTTTGACTGGCAGTTGAATTGCACCGTTGTGACTCTTGATCGTCGTCGGTCTGGATAATACCTAGGGACAAAGATGAAACTGGATGAATTACTTAAAACATTAATCTAACAGTACAAATAAGATATCTAAGACATATTTATACATAAGTTTCCAAACTTATTTGTTTCTGGATATCTGTCCCACCCACGTCCTTAACATGTTGGCAAGTCAACTGAACCAGTTGTAAAAACATGATTTCAGTAACTTGAGTTGAGAAATAATATAAATAAGGCAAAACCTGCAAGTTGTCTATAATAAACAAAAACGTAACAGCTAATTCACTAGCTTCTTATCCTTCTCTTAATTATATTCAAAAGGTGTTGACTTATTTCTTTAATGACCTTCTGACGCCCTACTGCCAACTGTCTTTAGAAAATAATCATTTTCAGGTGGGACAAAAGAAGAAAGTAAAGGTTAGGGAAAGCAATCAAGTATTTGACTGCACGGATGGCGTAGTGGTTTAAGCGGTCGCCACGCCGCTTCCTACTACGCCGAGTGTTGTGGGTTCAAACCCCACATGGGACGACACTTTGTGTGATCCACAAATTGTTGTTCTGAGTCTGGGTGTCCTTTGTGTCCGTTTCATGTATGTTTGTAAAGTCCCCCGCGACACAGGATTTTTTCCTAATGCGGGCGTTGTCTTTAAAAAAAAGAAAGAAAGAAAGATATCTAGAGAGCTAAGATAAAGGATATCGTAAGTCTGGGATGAAATTAGGGAAACCGGACTATCCCTGCAGAAACGCGAATTATGTTATGATTGGACTTGGACTTTAACTGACCAACAATTTTAAAACATTATTTAAGTTTACAGTTTCCTGCTCAAGCGTATAAAAACAAAGCCTCTTCTTAATAAAGAAATGAAATTGTGTTTACTATATTTTGGTATGTTTTTGTAGAAAGGAGTTTTGATAGCAGGTGTAAAATGAGGTTTTCTTACTAAACAAATTACAGTCAACAATGCGGTTAAAGCATCGCTTGACATTAAGACAACACTTAACAGTGAGCACAAATGGATCTCGCACAAAGGCGGGGCTCGCATAAAGACTCCAGTTTTTAAAAAGAAACTGCCATAGACACGAGTTTCTGCTCTAATTAATGCCTCGGGGCGTTCTGTTTCACTCTCGAGCAATTGAATACGACCTCTGTGAATGGTGTTTTAGCGCGCGGGAAAATACTTGTCTATGGTTGCGTTCGTGTCTTTTAATTTGCGTGAAAATGGTGAGGCGTGCGCGTCCAGTATTCAGGCCTTTCATGACTTTTCTTTCGCTAAACTTTTGTATGGCCACGTTGATAATGGGGAGGCCGCATCCCGATTACTTGTTACTCAGCGGGGGAGCGAGGGCTTCTCGAGTGTTTCTCTCGTTATAATATCGCATAAATATGTTTAGCGTGTACTCTTGCTCGTGCCACGAGTGGGTCTTAATGCTTCCGCATGAGTATCTTCAACGAAAACATCGTTACTAAAATCATTTTATACATATTTACTGATATATAATATGAACTTATGTAAATATTCCGATTTCAATATATGTTTCACATTCTTTGTAGGGTCAGGCATGACAAGTTTTTTTTTCATGGATTTTAATTACGCTCGAATTTCTCGGCCCAGTGGTTGAAATTATAAGTGTAACAGTTATGTTCACTTTTAATTTCAACAACCACCACAAACACGTTACGTGTATGTAACTACCCAATTTTTTCAAATATCTACTTAATATCCGTATTAAAGTTGTCTGTAAGAGATCGCCGTGAGCGACAAGACCGCCGATTGTTACGTCTATATATTTGTAAGTAACTTATGTGTTAACTGTATACTATGAAGATGTAAATAAATACATAAAAAACCGGCAACGCGCTTGTGACTATCTGAGTTGCAGACGTTCATGGGCGGCGGTAGTCGGTAGTCTGCTCGTTTGCCCCTCTTCCAATAAAAAACTTAAATGGGCCGACTTGTAGGTAAGTAGGTAATATTACTACCTTACAGAAAACCGGTATTAAAGAATTCTTTCAAAAATAAGTATCTAGGAATATTTGTAAACTAATATTATAGACAATGACGAATGACGACCGGATAGCGTAGTGGTTTGTGTAACAGACTGCTATTCCAAAGGTCGCGGGTTCGATTCCCGCTCAAGTCAAAAATTTGGTCTGGGTGTTTCTATGTATAATATGTATGTAATTACAAAAAAAGAAGTATATATGTATTTATATCAGTTGTCTAGTACTCATAGTACAGCTCTGCTTAGTTTGGTACTAGATGGCGTTGTGTGAATGTGGAAAAAAAAGTACGCAACATGTTATTTACCTACTAATAACGTAATAGTTGTAGAAAGGGTCGCCGTAACATGCTGAAGAAGTAACAACACAAACGATGTAAAGCAAACAAGCTATTATTTAGTAACAAACATGTATTTTGTATATTTTTATAAATATCATGGTAAAAAATTTAGATAGCATATTTCAATTTTCATAATTATAAAAACACTACCTTTGCCCCGACCCTTCACTTTCCATAGCAATTATTTTGCATAAGTTCGCGCTCCATAGTCGTGAGAATACTTACTGTAGCATGTCCGATTCGATTTTTCAGCTCTAATTTCCTATCTAGCAGGTTTGTACATACATAAATACATTCACTCACGCCTATATTGCCGAGAAGACGTATTAAGCGCTCACATATTTTTTTAAAGACAACTCCCGCACTAGGAATATTTCCTGTGTCGCAGAGGACTTTACAAGAAACGAATAAAAAAAAACACCCAGACTGAGAACAACAATTTGTGGATCACACAAAGTGTTATCCCATGTGGGGATCACAACACTCACGTGGTCGCTTAAACCACTACGCCAACTGTACAGTCGTATTTTTTTCCAACCATAATTTTAGTTCCAACTTTCGTAATAGGTGGCAAGCCTGAGATGAGTAAAGTAGAATATTTTGAAAGGACAAGTAGATAAGAAGAAAAAACATAGTTCGGAAAGAAATGCTTCTAAAACGGGTGGATTGATGTAAGGAAAGCTCGAACAGCTCTGGGTCGCATACTTTCGAATTTAACTGGCTATTGCTGGAAAGTCCGATCCCTCTAACCGAAAGTTCTACAGTTATAATACAGTTTTATTAGTCTATGGTTACCGGTCTGGTCAGTGTGAAATAGACCGTATGCTGTTACACGACGAAGCTTAAAAAATATTCCACTTTTTAAAAAGTATCACTGACTTCAATCATTTTGAATTGCAATCTACATTCCTTCACTTTCTACCCTTAGGGGTGATATATATATATATATATATATATATATATTTTTTATTTAATGAAACCGAACTGGAAGTATATCCTCCTAAATAAAACAAGAACAATAATATTCTAAATCAGTTTACAAAAGACGGCGTTCATTAACAAACCTTTAAAAATTAAATCGAATTAAGGACATTCTCCATTTTTGAAGTCGATTAAAAATGTCCAATCCACAGATATTAAAAAATTCATAGATAACAGAGGTCCCCTTTTTTTCTGTGCGGAAATCCCCTCGGATATCACCTATCGGTGGCATGTCGGACTCGAACCGACTAAAGCTACGGGTACTAATAGCCGGGGAACCAGGTATACCCTAGAAAGGAAGTCCCTGGTGCCCCGACATAAACAGAGGTCCCCTAAAATCAACACTAAATTGTGTCGACACCCTTTAACATCTCACACACTCCTCTAGTTTGTGTAAACCCATTATATTCGTGAGTCGCGCCCCTACAACAATGTAAATAGCACGCGTGACAAATTAGCGATGTCCCGCTGTGCTCTTTAGGACTGACACCCCTGTGGTATTGCGAGTCACGGATGGTATATATTTGATACTTGATAAGGCCAAAAGGTTCCGTTATAAGCACGCAGATCTACTAATATAACAAACCGACCAAACAACTGACCTAACTCATCATGAATAAACTGTGTATGTATATAATACTTTTCTAATTTGAAATTAACTATCTTTTCACCAATAAAAAAACATTCAAATGTCATTGATCAAGACACCGGAGCAGGACTTTGAAGAACAATTTCATCGATAATATTAGTCTGAGCACATAACGTTATTTTCAAATCAAATCAAATCCACAAAGTCCACTGTTGGACATATGCCTCTTCTTAAAAAGGAGGTTTTGGCCAGACGGGTTGGTATAGGGTTTGTGTGAAGTTTTCCTTTTCTTTGTAGTACTGAGTAGTTTGCTCTTTGAGTCGGCTCTTACGACACCCACGGGATGAATGTGGATGGTGACACTCTGTATTCTTAATCCATCACCACATGGTGTGAAGAAAACAATGATGATGAGTTACCATGTGTGCACCTTGCCGACGTATCTAGGATAAAAGCTGCACGCGGATGTGAAACTACAATTGTAGAATAAATATTAATAAACAAGTATCAAGCATCGTCAGTCTTGGTTCTATCATTGTTGTAATTACAAGGGTTGTCCAGATCAATCGTGCTGCGTAATTGTGGCAATCATTGTTAAACATTTTGTTCATTGTAAACCGTGATTAAAGGACAACCTAACGTTTTTTTGACGTGACAACGTCTTATAATTCGATGGAGCCGGCTGCACGCACGAAAAAACATGACTCATGCGGCGTTACCTCGCTCTGAGGCGTTCCATTTAAGGCTTGAAGTGCAAGCGAGAGCGCGCAACGAGCGACAAAGAGGCACAATCGGCCTCCGCCTTCGGCAGCGTTTGACATCTCTCTCTCTCCTACTTGAGTGAGCGATGCGTCCGCGTGGACAGCTGCTATACAATAATACATTTACATGTTTTCGTAAAATGCAACCATTCCATCAGTATTTTCTTATGACGTTGTCACGTTCAACTATCGTCAGTAAACCGACTTTACAGACAACCGATTTTTTTATAGTGTAAAGGACAAATGAGGTGATGGGTCAACTGAGCATAAGTGACTTCCGGAGCCCATGGTCTCAAGTGTATGAATGAATGATCATAAATTAAGTTTCGGCCTCTGGTAATCTCGCTCATTCCGACGGGCCTGTTGGTCTAGTGGTTAGTGACCCTGACTGCTAAGCCGGAGGTCGTGGGTTCGATTCCCAACCAGGACAAATATTGTGTGATGAGCACAGTCATTTGTTCTGTGTCTGGGTGTAATTTATTTATAATATTTATGTATTTAAAAATATATAAGTATGTTTATCA